TTTACTGTAGTCCATACTTTCTTTTCAAAACCCCTTTGCATTAGACTACTTTTTCCTGAAACCAGTACCTTTTAAATCACTCGCTTGAAATACCTTAATCTCTGACAATCGGATCCGTGTTGCCTAATGTAGGCTTTCTGTCTAAATGTATGTGTTGAACCAGTCCGCTCGCCGCTTAATTTTTAACTTAAGACCAAATCAGTATATGCTAAGACATGCTAAACTAAGTGTTTGTTTGATTAAGGGGTTTACTTGAGCCTTACCTATTTGTTTTGTTCATCCTTATATTTGTTACTTGTTTTGTATGTCGCAATTAGAATTTTAACCTTTGAACCCCATATATCCCTATATCCCTTTCCTTCCCCTTTAGGATTAGAAGTCTTGATACCCCGGGACTGATAGGTTGGGACGGGTACTAGCATGCAATAAGTAAACGAGACAGATCACGTTTAAATACCTTAACGGGGTGGGGAAGGTAGATATGGATATGATGACCGATGCGCTAATATCACGCGCGACCCCTCTTCTGAGGAGTGATCGTTGGGTATTGTATTGAAGTGATCCATATTAATTATAAATTTAGGACTCCTCTCCCTTTACTTGCTTTCATCTCTTNTTCTTTATTCTCATTCGAGGACGAACGAATGTTTAAGTATAGGAGGATGTGACGACTCGGCCGGTCGTCTTAAGAATCAACGCCCTGATCCCCTATTAACTGCTTTTCCCTAGTTTAATTCTGTTATTTTGATTTGTGGGGATGTTCGGTGTCGAGTTTGTTACATCCCGTATTTTAACGTTAGGATTCGTCAAAGTAATAACATAGGAGTTGGAAGGGATTAAGGTTATACATGAAGATATGGATGCAAGCCCCTGTAAGTTTGAAGAATTTCGAATCTACTATTTATTGGTTTGATATGTATTTTATTTGAAATAAACCATTTTCGGTAAAAGCTGATAGATACGATTTTATATGGTTGTGATAAGTTTTAAATTAAATACATAACATGCGGGAGTTTATAAATGAGGTTTTATTTATTATAAGAGTATATAATATTTTATCATAAGAAAAGTTATCCTTTTTCCGTTTTGAGAATTTATAGTGCAAAAATGAATTTCTTTATTGTAAAGATATAAATTATTTTTTTCACAAGAAAAGAAGGTTCTCTTTTTACCATTTTAAAAATTAAGCATACGAAAAATTTGTACTCTTTATATGAGATTAGAAAAATTAGAAGTTGAGAAAATATATGTATTTTTACATGGATATTTTAATGAAATAATTTTATATGGTACCACTTGACCTTGATAGTAAGTTATATAAAGTGTATTAAAAGTAAGTAGTATTATAAGTAATTTGAGATAATTCTTAATTATGTGAATAATTGGTTAATTATTGATTGGAGTGAAAAATTATTAAATTAATTAGGAATTTGTGGATAATTATGAGGGGGTAACATCCACGTGAGATGTTAGAGATTTGGCAGCAAATGCCTTAGCAAAATGTGACTCCTAAGTTCACTCAATGAGGTGGCATATTTAGGGGGGTTGATGTTGAGCAAACGTCAGTATATATCATTTACAATTCCTTGACAAGGTTTGACAAAAGTTCCCATGTTCTTCTATATATTCTTCCATATCTACTTTAAGATTATGCTTATTTGGATTTTTGGAGTGACAAGGGAAGTACACGAAGAGGGGTAAGGATCATTTGTCTTGTCTAGTTCACTTGTAAAATAAAGTTGTCACATCTAGTTTTTTGTCGTCTGCCTTTAGAAATTGCTACCTCAATTCCAATTAAGAGTAGTATATCTATATAGATTATTATATCAAGCTTATTTTTGACAAAATAATTTTTAGAGGTTGACGGAAGTGTTTACAATAGTGCTTTAAAATGTGATAAGGTGAAATGGCTAGTAGGATGTCAAATAAAAGTTTGAATAACCTAAATTAATAGTATCTACTGTTGAACCATTTCTGCATTCATGTTGACGATCAATATTTTATAGTCACTTAAAGTTTAAGGTATCTAGGCTACTTGAATTGTGTTTGTATTCTCAGTAAATAATATTGGTGAGAAGTGAGTTGAAGAATCTAAGTAATACTTCGACTATCTTTTTCAATGACTGATGTTCATATGTTAAAACTTGTGAATCTTACTTGTGAGCTTAATAATTTGTACATATCATATTGACATCAATTCATTTATTGGTAAAGGAAAATATTGATTATGTACTAACAGTTTGGTAAATCCGAATTTGAAGTTTATAAAACATACTATAAGCCAGGCATATATAATCTGAAACAGTGCCTCTCCTTCCTTCTCTTGTGTGATCATTAATTATTGTTCCTCTTATGTCAAATGGGTATGAAAAACTTGGGATTTTGATTCATGGGAATGTTTGGGCTTATGAGTATGGAAGGTTGTCAGCCAGATATAGTCACTTTCAACACATTAATGGATGTTTATTATCGCAATTAATATGTATTAGAGGGATTGTTAAGAGAGTCATCCCTGGTATGTTAAGGCTATCCCTTTTTTCTTTTGGCATGATCCAAGTAAAGAAACGTAAACGTAATGCTATTTCATAAGTGGTTCTACTCTTAGCAGTTAAGGATGTCTATGTTATTCATTCTCGTAAAGTGATATTCAAGCATGTCTAAGTAGGTATCTAGTTCCCTATTGAGGTATATGATATAAATATTAATGTTTATAATATAGGGATAGATGTACATGCAAGTTCATTCATTTGCCACCGCGCTACGACCGGACGGGCAGTTATCACCGGTTGGGCAGTTATGTATTATTATTTACCACCGGTCGGGCAGTCATGCATTTACAACCGAGCTACGGCCGGTTGGGTAGTTACACATTTACCACCGAGTTACGGTCGGTCGGGAAATCATGTATTTACCACTGCGCTATGGCCGGTCGGGCAGTTACCACTGATCTATTGGGCAGTCATGCATCATACGATATGAATAATAGTCTCAAAGTGAAGCATTATATATGCAAGTATGAATATACGGTGGCGCTTCAGAGATGCAGGTTGATTCTTATATGTCCTTAATTAATGTAGACTTATTGTTATATTCCAGTTCTGCCTTACTTACTCAGTACATTATTCGTACTGACGTCCTTTAGTTGGGGACGCTGCATTCATGCCTGCAGGTATAGATAATCAGTTTGACAATCACTCATTGTAGACGAGATTGGCGTTCAGTGAAGGATCGGTAAGACTCCACCTCATTCGGAGTGCAGCCGAGTCTATGAGTTATCGTTTCAGAATTTTACTACATACTTATGGGTCAGCGGTACCCTGTCCCATTTGATGTCAAATAATCTTAGAGGCTTTGTAGACAGAGGTTCATGTTGTACAGTATGTCAGATGCCTTGACGGCCCATATGTATTAATGTTTTATAAACGATGGTTCATTAATATAACATTTGCCCACTTACAATTGTACATTACGAGTTGTGGCAGTTTGGCCCATGATAGTTACACATGGAATGAATGAGTTAAAGAGTGGTTCGCTCGGGCCAGTACGACATTGGGTGCCAGCCACGCCTTCCAAGGTTGGGACGTGACAAAGTGGTATCAGAGCGGGTCGTGTCCTAGGGAGTCTACAAAGCCGTGCTTATTAGAGTCTCACTTATGGTGTGTTGCACGCCACATTTATAATTGAGAGGCTATAGGGCATTTAGGAAATATTATCTTTTTTTTTATTCCAGATCATGCCATAGATCTGAGTCGTAAGAACTCAGTATAAAGTTTCCACTAAATTTTGTATGCACTATAGGTGCTATCATAATAGAGCTTTAAGGCGTAGATGTAATTTTTGCCTATGTGAAAGGAAGGTTATGAAAGAAACAGAAAAGACAATGCACGATTGAAAAGTAAGTACGGTAAAGGTGAAGAAGATACAAGATACTCAAGTACAAAAAGTTGTGAATAGTCGAGACTTCAGAAATAATTTGGGTTTTAAGTTTAATTTACGTAGGAGGCCCTAGTGAAAATTTTGCAAATCTCTAAGAGTTAACATTCGAAGACGAATGTTCTAAATGGGAGAAGGAAGTTACATCCCGTATTTTAACGTTAGGATTCGTCAAAGTAATAACATAGGAATTGGAAGGGATTAAGGTTATACATGAAGATAGGGATGCAAGCCTCTGTAAGTTTGAAGAATTTCGAATCTACTATTTATTGGTTTGATATGTATTTTATTTGAAATAAACCATTTTCGGTAAAAGCTGATAGATACGATTTTATATGGTTGTGATAAGTTTTAAATTAAATACATAACATGTGGGAGTTTATAAATGAGGTTTTATTTATTATAAGAGTATATAGTATTTTATCATAAGAAAAGTTAGCCTTTTTCCGTTTTGAGAATTTATAGTGCAAAAAAGAATTTCCTTATTGTAAAGATATAAATTATTTTTTTCACAAGAAAAGAAGGTTCTCTTTTTACCATTTTAAAAATTAAGCATACGAAATATTTGTACTCTTTATATGAGATTAGAAAAATTAGAAGTTGAGAAAATATATGTATTTTTACATGGATGTTTTAATGAAATAATTTTATATGGTACCACTTGACCTTGATAGTAAGTTATATAAAGTGTATTAAAAGTGAGTAGTATTATAAGTAATTTGAGATAATTCTTAATTATGTGAATAATTGGTTAATTATTGATTGGAGTGAAAAATTATTAAATTAATTAAGAATTTGTGGATAATTATGAGGGGTAACATCCACGTGGGATGTTAGAGATTTGGCAGCAAATGCCTTAGTAAAATGTGACTCCTAAGTTCACTCAATGAGGTGGCATATTTAGGGGGGTTGATGTTGAGCAAACGTCAGTACATATCATTTACAATTCCTTGACAAGGTTTGACAAAGGTTCCCATGTTCTTCTATATATTCTTCCATATCTACTTTAAGATTATGCTTATTTGAATTTTTGGAGTGACAAGGGAAGTACACGAAGAGGGGTAAGGATCATTTGTCTTGTTTAGTTCACTTGTAAAATAAAGTTGTCACATCTATATTTTTTGTCGTCTGCTTTTAGAAATTGCTACCTCAATTCCAATTAAGAGGAGTATATATAGATTATTATATCAAGCTTATTTTAGACAGAATAATTTTTAGAGGTTGACGGAAGTGTTTACAATAGTGCTTTAAAATGTGATAAGGTGAAATGGCTAGTAGGATGTCAAATAAAAGTTTGAATCCTAAATTAATAGTATCTACTATTGAACCTTTTCTGTATTCATGTTGACGATCAATATTTTATAGTCACTGAAAGTTTAAGGTATCTAGGCTACTTGAATTGTGTTTGTATTCTCAGTAAATAATATTGGTGAGCAGTGAGTTGAAGAATCTAAGTAATACTTCAACTATCTTTTTCAATGACTGATGCTCATATGTTAAAACTTGTGAATCCTACTTGTGAGCTCAATAATTTGTACATATCATAGTCATCAATTCAATGTAAAGAAAAATATTGAATATGTACTAACAGTTTGGTAAATCCGAATTTGAAGTCTATAAAAAATACTATAAGCCTGGCATATATAATCTGAAACAGTGACTCTCCTTCCTTCTCTTGTGTGATCATTAATTAGTGTTCCTCTTATGTCAAATGGGTATGAAAAACTTGGGATTTTGATTCATGGGAATGTTTGGGCTTGCGAGTATGGAAGGTTGTCAGCCAGCTATAGTCACCTTCAACACATTAATGGATGCTTATTGTCGCAATTAATATGAATTAGAGGGATTGTCAAGAGAGTTATCTCAGGTATGTTAAGGCTATCCCTTCTTTCTTTTGGTATGATCCAAGTAACGAAACGTAAACGTAATGCTATTTCATAAGTGGTTCTACTCTTAGCAGTTAAGAATGTCTGTGTTACTTATTCTCGTAAAGTGATATTCAAGCATGTCTAAGTAGGTATCTAATTTCCTATTGAGCTATATGATAGAAATATTAATGTTTATAATATAGAGATAGATGTACATGCAAGTTCATTCATTTACCATCGCGCTACGGTCGGTCGGGCAGTTACCACCGGTTGGGCAGTTATGTATTATTATTTACCACCGGTCAGGCAGTCATTTATTTCCCACTGAGCTACGGCTGGTTGGGTAGTTACACATTTACCACCGAGCTACGGCCGGTTGGGCAGTTACATATTCACTATCGAGCTACGGTCGGTCGGGCAGTCATGCATTTACCACCGCGCTACGGCCGGTGGGGCAGTTACCACTGATCAGTTGGGTAGTGATGCATCATAGAATATGAATAATAGTCTCAAAGCGAAGCATTATATATGCAAGTATAAATATACAGTGGCGCTTCACAGATGCAGGTTGATTCTTATATGTCATTAATTAATATTGACTTTTTGTTATATTTTAGTTCTGCCTTACATACTCAGTACATTATTTGTACTAACGTCCTTTTGTTGCGGATGCTGCATTCATGCCTGCAGGTATAGATAATCAGTTTGACGATCACTCATTGTAGACGAGATTGACATTCAGTGAAGGATCGGTAAGACTCCAGCTCATTCGGAGTGCAGCCGAGTTTATGAGTCATCGTGTCAGAGTTTTACTACATACTTATGTGTCAGCGGTACCCTATCACATTTGATGTCAAATAATCTTAGAGGCTTTGTAGACAAAGGTTCATGTTGTACAGTATGTCAGAGGCCTTGACGGCCCATATGTATTAATATTTTGTGAACGATGGTTCATTAATATAGCATTTGCCTACTTACAACTGTACATTACGAGTTGTGGCAATTTGGCCCATGATAGTTTCACAAGGAATGAATGAGTTATAGAGTGGTCCGCTCGGGCCAATACGGCACCGGGTGCCAGCCACGCCTCCTAAGGTTGGGGCGTGACAGAGTTTCGGAGAGTTTTGGGACACTTAGCCCCTAAATGAGAGCTTAAGTGTTGGAAAGTTGATCGTAGTCGGAACAGTATGAAGACGGACTCGGAATGAAAATATGAAGATTCTGTTAGCTCCGTTGGGTGATTTCGGGCTTAGGGGCGTGATCAGATTATGTTTTGGGTCCGTAGATAATTTAGGCTTGGAATGCCGAAAGTTGAATTTTTGAATTTTCTGGTCCGATAGTGAGATTTTGATCTGAGTGTCGGAATGGAATTCTGGAAGTTGTAGTATCTCCGTAGTGTTGAATGTGACGTGCGTGCAGAATTTCAGGTCATTCGGACGAGGTTTGATAGACTTTTTGATCGAAAGCGTATTTTGAGAATTTTGGAGTTCTTAGGCTTGAATCCATGGTTAATTCGAGGTTCCGATATTGTTTTTGGTGTTCTAAGGATTGGTACAAGTTTGGATAATTATTTGTGACTTGTTGGTGCCTTTGGTTGAGGTCCCGGAGGTCTCGGGAGGAATTCGGATGGTTGACGGGAAGATTTTTAAATTTCAGTTGCAGCTTCAGCTGCTGGTTCTGTCATAACCGCACATGCGGTTTGGGTTCCGCAAGTGCGGTACCGCAGAAGCGGCTCAGTGGCCGCAGAAGCGGAAATTGGGGACTTCTTCAAGAACCACAGAAGCGGTGGTATTTCTGCAGAAGCGGTACTGCATCTGCAGATTGGGAGTCGTAGATGCGGAAATTGGTCATTAAGTGAAAAGTCGCAGATGCGACATTAGTTCCGCAGAAGCGGGACCGCAGATGTAGTCTCTTGACCGCAAATGCAGAAACAGCTGGGCAGAAATATAAAATTTTGAGTGTTTAGTTTCAAAAGTTGGAAATTCGATTTGGAGCTCGGGAAAGGGCGATTTTGAGAGAAAATTGAAGAGGAGATCATTGGGTAACGATTTTTTAACCTTTTCTAGTTATATTCCATCAATCTATAGTTAGTTTCATCATTTAATTTCGGATTGGAGATGAAAATTAAAAATTGGAAGAAAGTTATTAAACCTAGAATTCGACTTTTGATTGGGAATTTGACCTTAGATTTGGATAATTTTGATATGCATGAACCCGTGAGAGCGTGAGGATTCTGAAAATATAAATTTTACCCAATTCCGAGACGTGGGCCCGAGGGGCGTTTTGGTCATTATACATAATTTTGCGTATTAGCTTAGAATTTAATTGTAGAATCAGTTACTTGAAGTGTTATTTACATTATGCAATTGAATTGAATAGATTTGGGCCATTTGGAGTCGAGTACTAGTGGCAAGAGCGTGGTTTCGGGTTGATTTTTGAACGGGTTCGAGGTAAGTGGCTTGTCTAACCTTGTGTGGGGGACCTTCCCCTTAGGATATGATATATTTGATAATTGAAATGCCTTGTACGTGAGGTGACGAGCGCGTACTTGAGCTAATTGTTGAAAATCCGGTTTTTCCTTAAGTATTTCAATTGAGTTCTCTTTCCTGTTTTATTCTACTTGTGTATTTAGCCTGTTGCTAGTTTAGGAAAGCATGTTTAGTTGACTTAATTGCCTANATTTTATTCTACTTGTGAATTTAGACTGTTGCTAGTTTAGAAAAGCATGTTTAATTGACTTAATTGCCTATTTGCTTAAACTGCCTTAATTGCATTACGTGAAGCATGTTAGGCTAGAATTAACTGTTTACTTGGTACGAAATTTAGCTTAATTGGGTATTCTTGTGTTGCTGCTATGTGTTTTTACTTTGGGACTACGGGACGGCATCCTGGGAGATCCCCTGTACGTATTTATGATCTGAACTAAGGTGCAGGATACCAAGAGATCCCTGGCACGTATATTGAGGATACCAAGAGATCCCTGGCACGTATATTGAGGATACCAAGAGATCCTCGGGATACCGTGAGATCCCTAGCATTTATTGAGGATACCAAGAGATCCTCGGGATACCAAGAGATCTTTAGCATATATTGAGGATACCAAGAGATCCTCGAGATACCAAGAGATCCCCGGTTATCATCCTTGTTATGAGTGGTACTTCCTTGTGGTTTACCTTCATCTCTGTTTCCGTTATTGTACTCTTATTATCCTGTATAGATTCTTACTGTAGATTCTCAATTGTACTGTTTATCTTATCCTGTCAACTTATATTTATTTAATCTCAGTAGGACCCTGATCTTTCTCGTCACTACTCAATCGAGGTTAGGCTTGGCACTTACTGAGTACCGATGTGGTGTACTCATTCCTCTTCTGCGCATGTTTTTCATGTGCAGATCCAGGTATCGCTACTCAGGCATATCATCCTTAAGGATGCGAATGCTCTAGAGACTTCAAGGTACATCTGCCGCGTCCGCAGACCGAGAAGTCTCTTTCTATTCCTGCTTTTAGAATTTAGCCCTTATGTATTTTTTTCTGTTCTTATTAGACATTCCGGAGTTAGAGCTATGTAGTATTGATCTTAGCTTGTGATTCATGGGTTTCCGGGTCTTGGATTTATGTATTGGTATTGAGACTTAAACATGGTGTGAGCCGAGCGGCACATTTAAACACTGTTACTACGTTATTTCTGTTTTAAATTGTTTTACTTCCGCAAATTTTGGTTTTTCTTCCGTAAATTAGGCTTACCTAGTCAAAGAGACTAGGTGCCGTCACGATGGTTCAGGGAGGGCAAACCAGGGTCGTGACAGGGCTCCGGAACCAAAATACGGGCCCGATACCATAAATTTCAAATATAATCAAATTTCCAAAAACTCTTATATTTTCAGTAAAATAATTCTATCAAAAATTCATTTCTCGGGCTTGGGACCTCGGAAATTCGATTACGGGCATACGTCCAAGTCCCATATTTTCCTACGGACCCTCCGGGACCGTCAAATCACAAGTTCGGGTCCGTTTACCCAAAATATTGACCGAAGACAACTTAAATTTAATTTTAAAGGCCAAGTTAACATTTTCATCACATTTCCACATAAAAAGCGTTCCGGATATTCGCCCGAATCGCGCACGCAAAACGAGGTGAGGAAAAATGAGTCTTTTAAGGCCTCGGAGCACAGAATTTACTCGTAAATCAAGTGATTACCTTTTGGGTCATCACACTATCGTGGTTAGATAGTTGGGGGACAATTTTAGATTTTGCGGAATTTTTCTAGGGAAAGTGGTTGTAGACAATAAATTTGCGTCAAGAAAATAAAATCGAGCGATCGAAAAATATTGCAATAATCGCAGTATTTTATTTCAAATAATTTGAGCGTTACAATCTCTATGAATCCTCTGATTCTTCTTTTCAATAGTAAATAAATTCAAGGGCCTTTGAGCTTGATCTTGAAAATGTATTTGCTGCCACGAACGATGGTCTTGAATTCAATTAGCACGAACTTTGATTTGAACTCGTACTCCTTGAATCTTGATTTGTTATTCGTTCTTGTACTTGATTTGTTCTTCGTTCTTCAGCTTGAACTTGATTTGTTCTTCCTTCTTGAACTTTAACTTGATTGCTTGAAGCTTGAAACTTGTAAAGAAATTTGCGGCATTTGATCCACGAGCTCTCTCTTGCTTCTTGTTATAACTTCTGATATCTTTTCTGGGTTATGAAGACCCCTATTTATAGTTGTGGGAAAGAAGAGTTATGATAAGAACAAACTCTTTCCGACCAATCAAATCGAAGTGTGACAAGGCCGCGTTTGATTGGTCATAACATGTCACTTGCACACGTAGCGCGGTTTCATTGGCTTTTTAATGTGACTTGGCATGCCTTGTCATTTTGACATATGGCACAATCCTAGTGGCTCTTTCGTTTGACTTGGCATGCCACGTCATTTGACACGTGGCACTGGGCCTCTAGGAAGATGCCATCTTGGGTCTAATAAAGTGGGTTCATCGCTTGTAGCCCAATTAAATGGGTTAGCCCACTAAATTTGGACTTATTTATTTAATCCATATATACTTGATTTATATAATTAATTCAATTATATTAGCCTAATAAAATTATTTGAATTAATATATGTTTTATTTAAAATATAGTCCAAAATATTTTATGAATTTAATTCCAATAAATTTTATATGCCTACAAATGTTCCCAATTTCAATACTTGCCCGGCAAAATTGAAACTTAGGCAGGGGTTGAAGTATTGGTACGACATCATTTATTTTCCTTCCCACAGTGACGTAACTCCAAATACTTATGGATTTGCAGATTCCTTCAATTATTTTATTAATTACCATAACATTACATCTTTCACTGGTGCAAAACTTTATTCAATCCGTTATGATGCAGCAAAATCTAAAGAAATTGGCAAGAATTTGTAACGCCAAGCATCCCTTTGAAGACAACACGCAATACTCTCATGCATTTCTTGGCCAAAATATATTATTTACTATTTATTTGGCGACATCCTTTATGCTTCAAAATTGAAAAGCAAAACCTTGCATGACTAGTAATTATACTACTAGTAATTAAAGATCAGGACTGGCCTTGTAGATACTCCAAGAGTATAAGCAGAACTATCAAACCCAACGTCGACGTAGTGATACTTCCGTTGGAAACCAAGTTGTATACGGCGAACCCGGGGCCCGATTTCCCCATCGTAGGGCCGTCTCGCGGTCATGCCCCTCGAAGCTCGGAGTCAAGGTCGAGACTTACCTTCGGGGGTCGTCAGATACCGGCCCAAAGGACACCGCATTCCGACAGCTATAGCGGGCTACAACAGGCGAGAGGGGAGTTCCCAAGGCACACGGCTTAATCTGACAAAGCTGGCCTATCCGGGGGCCTATTTCAAGATGTCACGTCCAGCCACCATATCTCCACGCCTTCACGGTTAACACGTTTTGTACTATGACGGATTTCCCTCCTATATAAAG